ATCGTCTCTGGAGCCTGGATGTTATTGCCCAGGCTGTAGTAGTGACATGTCCAAAGCATGAGTGATCAGGTCTCTCTGTTATGGCTGTGACTTTCAGAGGCTATAAATTTTGGTACTACTGCACAAGTGTGATATTTCCAGAGCACACAAATACTGTAGCACTAGAAAAAAATCCCATTTTCCTGTAACCTACCCAGTATGCATAGGTAATTAAATGATTACTTAATTTAGATTCAGCTTTGTCTTATTGTTTGTTTAAATGAACTGGAAGACTTGTGCATATTATGATTGTCACAACATAAAATCCGCAGTTGATCATTTACTCTTATTTGTACTTAACATGGTTTAAACCTTCCCTTTTATGTTTTCAGATGCCCACATAGTCATTGTACAGCAGTGGTCACCAACTGGTCTATCAGGATTGATTGGTAGATCTGGGAGCATCTTGAAGTCAATCCTGGACTGTGGGGGCTGAATGTGTGCATGCATGTGTGTGTGCGCCGCCTTGCCCCAGCCCAGCAAGTTAGTCGGTGGAGGAGGGAAGGGGCAGAGGCCCAGGGGGCACGTGCAGCAGGGCCCAGGGCACAAAGCCCAGCCTGCAGCAGCACCCGCCTCTGCTGCGGACAGATCGGGGAGGGGGGCATGTACCCTCGCCAAATGCGGGGCAGTGCTGGCAGCTGCAGCAGCTCTGAGGTAGGGAGTGGGGCTGAGGCAGGGGCAGGCCCTGCACAGCTGGGGTAGGATGGGGGACGGAGCCACGAGTGGCTCATCCAGGGGGTAAAGGGAGGGGCATGCAGCCCGGGAAGGCACAGAGGGGCACGTGCCCCTGGATCTACACATGGGGCAGGGCAAGGTGGGCTGGGGCCGGGGCAGCACCAGGCTCTTCTCGACTGGGCTGTGCTCAAACTGGGCAGCTGCGGCAGTGGTGCTGGGAGTGGGGCCACGGGGGGCCGTAGCCCCCCCAACCCCTGCTCCCAGCGACACTGCCGAGCTCAGTGCAGGCCAGGCCCGGTGGGAACAGCCCAGTGCATGGCAGAAAACATGACACGGTGCTACTGCACAGTAGTCTTGGGCTACTGAGTAGTAAATGTCATGAAAAGGTCATTCTGTGCCACTACTGCGCAGTAGCTCTAGTAAGACTTGTGCAGTAAGCATCTCATTTAGACGCAGTCAGTGATTCGCAGCTAGGGTGCTGCACTACTCTGGGGTACCATAAGATCCTTTTAAGGCTGCCAAGGGGTGCTGTACAATACTAGCGCTATTAGGTGTGCAAGCACCTACACAAGATAAACACAGAGATTTCAAACAGGAATCTATAGTGTCAAACACACTTTGACTGCCTGTGGTCTTTTTGAGTTCATTGCAACAGAAGAATGGCTATATTGCTTTTCTCATAGTCAAAAAGAGTGCAAGGTAATAGCTGGCATTTTCTGAGGGCTACCTTGAGTCTAATGTGGGGTACCTTCTGTCTATAAAGGCTGAGAACTACTGGTGTAGAATGTATGCCATAGAGAGAGATTAATGGCATCCAGGCTACATCCTGATTTTTCCCACTACGAACACAGCACCTGACTGGAACCTGTAGGCTACAAGGCAGGTGAAGAACAGTAAGAGTTGAAACCTGCAGGTTTGAAGTACTCTACAAAGCACCAGAGTGCATCAGAACATTTGGAATTTATTCAAGATGTTTATCTTGAGATGGACAAAATCAGTATACACTGGTATAATAAATAAAAAAAGCACATAAGAGGGTACCGTCAAACCTGGTATAATAGGTACAAGTGGGAAGGTTGTAATTAAATAAGTTCTCTAATCAGCAAATTGTAAGGTACATGGCACTAAACAGGATTGATCATGTCTGGGCAATGATGCATGCTTGATGTAAGTACTTCTAATGTATAAAAAGAGAAGAACAGAAATGCAGTTTGGATTTGTGTTTAACACTACACTATCCCTGCAGGGGACAGTGATGGCCCTCAGGGGCTACATGCAACAGTCTGGGTGCTGATGGGCCTGGGCAGATGCCTGCAGTGCCCAGTGCTGGGGCATAGTGCAGAACAGGCAAGCAGATGGTGGGGCTGTGCCAGGGGGACAATACTGGGGTCCAGGTAGGCTGCTTCTGGTGACTTGGGGCCACTAATGTGGGATCCAGTAGCCAGAGGCTGGCTACAGGTGGCTCAGAGCCCCAGTGTCTCAGCCGGGTCTAAAGACCCAGCTGAGAATATGAATAAAGTCTACACTAGAGTTATAGTCACTGTAACTAACGTTATGGTCTACATGTGCTTTTACACGTGCCTAAACTTAATGCGCATTAGCCTAATGTGCATTAAGATGATTTAGGTCCACGCCCACATGTGTATGTGCTAATGCACATTAACACAGGTATGTGGACCAACTTGGGACTAAAATTAGTCCCAAGTCAATGGACACACACTGAGTTAATGTTCATTACCACATCTATACATTTGCTAATGTGATTAACTATTTGCACATAAATTTGATAACTACCTGCTTTATGCAGGTATCAGATTTAGGCTCAAATAGCCTTAAATCGCCATTTTAAGGTACACACCCTTAATGTGCCTTAAATTGGGCTAATGCGCATTAAATGTGCACATGCAGACACGCCCAGTTGGTATGTCTACATGTGCAATTAATGTGACTGAATATACTCTGGCCTGCATACCTGGAGCTGGTGGGCCAGGCACTGGCCCAGGCTGCCAGAGCTGCTGAGCAATGCTAGGGGTGGGGACCCCGGTAGGATGGGCTCCTGGTGCCCCGAGGGGCCCTCGCCCACTGATGCCTCATTACGGCTACCAGACTTCAGGAGAGGCTCAGGCAGGCCATCCATGCTAGAATACATGGCGCAGCTCTGGCCAGGGTCCCAGAGTGCGAGGATCTGGTCTGCCTGCCTCATAAGGGGGCATGGATCTGTGGGCAGCCTCTGACCAGCAGTTGTGGTCCATGACACTGACCCATCATTGACCCGTGGGGCCTTGACCTTTATGTGGTACTGCCGCACTGAACAGTCATGCCTTTGCTCCTGCATGCATCCCAACAGACCCTCATAGATGTGGGCATTGGAGTGCCCGCTCCAAATGAACTCACTCAGGACCTCAGCCTCACCCCACAGTGCCACAAGGTCTGTCATCTCCTCCTGGGACTGGTTATGTTCCTGGGAGGTTGTGTGTGGCATTGGGGACAACACCAGCTTTGTTCCTTTGATGGCCCTTAGGGGCTACATGCAACAGTCTGGGTGCTGATGGGCCTGGGCAGATGCCTGCAGTGCCCAGCACTTTGTCAGAGTGCAGAACAGGCAAGCAGATGGTGGGGCTGTGCCAGGGGGACAATACTGGGGTCCAGGTAGGCTGCTTCTGGTGGCTTGGGGCCACTAATGTGGGATCCAGTAGCCAGAGGCTGGCTACAGGTGGCTTAGAGCCCCAGTGTCACTGCAGCATTTTGAGGGACAGCCTGGGGCAGGCAAAGAGCCACCCCAGCCCTGGGGCTGGAGAAGCCCCATGGCCTAGCCTGAAGGTGGCCCCCGGTGGTGGGGCTGACTGGGAGTAAATTTGCTCCTGGTTGGCATCTACACATGTGCTACTGCACACATCTGAATGTGTACCCATCGGAAGCAAATTTGCTTCTGATGGGAGCCGTTCGGTCCAGGGCTTCTCCTACCCTACTTTGCCTCCCTGCAGCAGCCAGGGGGAACTCCAGGCTTCTCCAGGTGCCAGCCAGAGGCTGGCAGGAGGCACAGGGGGCTGGTCCCATCTCTGCAAGGCAGAGGGAGCTGTCCCGGTATATTAGAACAGTTCGTTTTCTACATTAGAATGAATGTAATGTATTCAAGTTAAATTATTAACCAATCCAGATCAAAAGCGTTGCTTTTATGCTGAGTGCTTAATACACTGGGAAATGCTAAAATATCAAATAAATAATTACTAATACATAATAAATGATGATTGAGTAAAATAATGATTTCCTGTCTTAGACATGCGTGTGGCTCTCATTAACGTGAAAGGAAGTCATTACTACACTCTTGACACCGAAATTTAACCTTAAGGCACATCTTTTTAACATTACTACATAATAACGCATATTGTATTTCCAGAATGCCTTTTACACTAATGGATACTCACAGTTTTAAAAACAACAATAAACCGAAATAAATGTATAATTGGTACCTAGATACTATTTGAAAGGTGCCTCAGAAATACTTAGCAGTAGTAGCAGCAACAGCAACAGTACCCATAGGAATAATTAATAGTGAACCTAATCCTGTTATCCTTGTTCAGATAAAACTCTCACTGAAGTCAATGTAATTTTTGTCTGAATAACAAACGGATAAAGCCTTGATGATCTGGCATATTGTGACTTATCTTTTGTAAAAAAGTAATTTAAAGTGTCAGGTATTTTATAGACATTTAAAATGCCTGGCTCCAACCAAGATGCTTAGTGAGAGACTCAATTAGAGATGGGCTTAATCACAAAGTTCAGATCATCCCCACCTGCATTTTTGAGAAGTTTGGACACAAAGTTGTGTTTCAGCCCCTCAGAGATTCTGGCTGCCTTCAAATTTGGATATGAACCCATGTTTGAGGCCTGGGAGACTGTAGGTAAGGATACATAAGTATTGTATGCAGAAAAACTATTTGTGAACCCATTTCCATTCTGAACATGGAAAGCTTTTTCACAGTAGCTGAACAGTGTTAAGGAAGTTTGCTCCTCTATAAGTATGCAGATCCAATTAACTTCAATTGCAGTTACTTCTAAGCAAGGAGGGAAGAATAGACCCTAATTTCCTATGTAGAATCTCCTGAAATTACTTCTTCAATGACAAATTGTTTTATAAGTTTGAATGAAATCCAGTGTTGACCACAGATGAAACTTGCTAATTGGAGTCTAGAGACAGCCACATGCCTTTCAACAAGTTTAAAAAGAATTTTTTTTAAAGAAAAAGTTACCTGATGAGAACATCAGTAAGTTAATAAAACAGTTACCTGATAAGTGATATGAACAAAAGGTGGTTCTTGAGAAGATGGGTATGTTAGAGAGAACCTCTTCCCATTTTTAGTTAACTCTATTAGTTCAGAAAGACGCAGTTGTAATTCTGTAAAGCTGCTGCACAGTCTCTCTAGATTCCTGGGTATGTGATTTTCTCCACTGTCACTTGAAGAGTTGCTATTTTTAGGAGAAGTAGAAGTTTCTTGAGAAGGTTTAGGAGAATCTTGTCTGTTAGAAATCCTGGCAGAGGTCTCAACTCCAAAAATAGCCATTGACCGATTAGCTGGTTCGGCATCTAAAGTTTCTAAAGCAACTGGTGATGAGTCACCATGGACTCTTTTTTCCTCAAGATCACTCACACTCGATGATGAACTCTGCTCATAACTAGGGGACTTCAATTCTATGAGTCTTCTCCGGCCACTAGGAGAGTGAATAATGGTACTACCTGGTATTAGCAACTCCCGGCTTGAAGGTTGATCTTCCGTGGCAAGATTTTCAAAACATTTTCTTTTTCCAGGTATAGTCACTGAGGATTCCAAATTGTAAAGTACATTCTGGCTGGTGTCAGGCATTGCTAAAGAATCTTCTTCAAATATTAATTCTTTAATCATTAAACGAATAATGTACTTGTCTGTACTTGAACACGGAATGAGAGCAGACTCCGAGAATTTCTGCTTTCCAATCAAAATCAACAAGAATTTATCTGTCAAGAAGCACAAGCCCTTTGCTCTTTCACTTTTCTCCAGCTGGATTTGTTGAATATTGGGCATGCAGGAAGAAGTGACTGAATAAACCAAAACAATATTACAAGTATTTGAGGCTACTGCCACAATCTGAGCTCTGAAGTCAAAAGCTACTATATCAGGGACCAGAATGCCTGGGATGATGACTTTTCTGGTGGTGGTTACCTTCCTCTCAAAAGTCACCAAAATTAGGTATGAAGAGTCTTGCCTGTTTCCTGAGATATATTCTTTGCGTCTCAGAGAAATGAGAGGACTGGGATCAGATAGCCTGTGGTTTGCAAGGATACGGGTTAACTCCGGAGGACATGATGAAGAAGAAGCTACTGACTCAACAGCTATTGATCTTTCTGAATCTGTTGATTTTCTTCTTAGGTATATAGAATATTCCTCATCTCCAAAGGCCAGAGTAGACGGGGAAGATAAAGAACCTATTTCCATGCCAGATGGCACATCAAATGCAATTCCTGCATTTAGACCACAGATCTTATCTAGGGGAAGCTCAGTGGCTACAGCAATTTGGAAATCCAAAGTAGCTTCTATAGCACAGATGTAGCTTCCTACATCAAATATTGGGCAAAAGGAGCAAGCATTTAGGGTTTTCTGAGTATCATCCCATGTATAAGAGTGAAGGGTACTGCCTATAGCAACCACCAAGCGATTACCGTTCTTAGTCCAGCATGCACAGTGGATGAGACCGCTACTCTTGATATCCGCCTTAACCCTGGAGTTATCAGAACGAACAGCATGTAAAACTGAGGTGTCCCGTTTAGTAAGCACAGCCAAGATCTCCTTCTTGGGATGCCACACACACCCCTGGGGAAGCAGGGGAAATGGCTCACTAATTTCACAAGTCTGAGAAGCCAGGAGCTTGTTTTTTTCTGCAGTGTTATAGCCAAGCTGCCAGACAGTGGCATGCTTCTTATGTTGAACAGCCAGCAGAGCTGGGGCATCTGCAGCAGATGAACCCCAGTAAAGCCCATGAACGTGTTCGAATTGCCCAATAACACTTGAGTCACCAAATCTTAGTTCTCCATTAAGAAGGTGTAAAGCAGTCAGTACCACTTGCTTCCCATCGGTCCAGGCTATACCATGCACAGGATGTATGGCCTGATACAAGGCATTAAGACCAGTTCTCAGAAGTTTTGCCTTTCCCAGCTCCATCTTTTTAAACTTCTTCCTTAGCGGTGATTTCTCTAAACTAAAAAATCCACAGGATTCACATGAACATCTTGATAAAGAAAGTGACTCTTGTAACTTCCATGTAGCTGAATCAAGCTGATTTATTCCAAAGTTGTCTGTAATGTAAACTTCTTCACACTGTGACCGCGCAGCTGATCTTCTAGGTTTAAATCCCTGTGAAAGCTGCTTTTACTATGCCTCTTTCTGGGAGGAGTTATAACCTTCTTGTGATGTCTAACAAGGTTTAACTAATTACTGTGCTCTTCACTGGCATTTTCGCAGAAGCCTATTTTTAACTCTTCAGCATTGGAAGTATATTTAAAAATAACACTCTAATACCTTAACCTCCAGTGAACAGAAGACCCTGGTAAATGGAGGAGAGTGATCCTATGCTGTTAAGCCTGAGCATTAAGTTACAGTATGAAATAATGAACTGCCACTTCTTTCTAGACAGGCTATAAAGGCGGGGAGTAAGATTAAAACCTATACATGATCAAGCAAGGGCTAGTTTCCAGTCTCTGTTTGGCAGCACATTTCAAAGATGCAAGATTCCTAAGTGGCTGTTACAAGGGTAGTAGGAGAGGGGATTCTTAGTCCTGCCACTGGTTACATTAAGCATCAGGGAGAGGACATGTAAAGTAACATGACCTACAAGCAAGGGAACATAATCTATTTAGTTTTGGTTTTCCCAGCTTCTACTATCTGTCGCTATCCTTTTGGTCTTTCCAGCTGCCCATTGCTGCTCCTTCCTCATTTCTGCCTACAACTCCAGCTGCAAATAGCAGGCAAGAATCTCTTTTTTTCCTCCATGGCCTAGCTTGCTAGGTGTGTTTTTATGGTGCTTTTTGGATGGGATCTCCTTTCTGCTCCTCTTCTTTTTGTTACTTACATGGGTCTTTTGCTCTTTACAAATGTTATAAATAAATCATCTGAGGATAGCTGAGTTCTAAATAACCATGAGTGCTAATGACACAAACCTGAAATGGTTATTACATACATCCTACAGCTTGACCTAGTTTCTGCTGGCTTCTAAAATGCAGAATATGGTGAGCCCCACACAAGGGCTCACAAATTTATTTAAAGGGACTGTGTTGTATTCCCTTATGCTAGGTTAGTATTGGCAACTTCTAGATCAGCGGTTTTCAACCTTTTTTAACAAGTGTATCCCTTTGATCTCAGAGTTTCAGCTCATGTACCCCCTTATATTTTTTTCTTGTTTTTAATGTTACCATTAACAGGAGGGAGGGAAGGGGCGGGGGGTAGATCAAGGTGAGGGAGGGAGTGGGGCTGGAGCAGGGGCAGGGGCAGGGACTGTACAGCCAGGGTGGGGTGTGGGACAGAGCCATGAGCAGCTCGTCCAGGGGATGCAGGGCGGCGACTCCTGCTGCTGCACGCACCTGGGAGGGTATGGGGGACTGTGTGCCCCCTGGATCTGCATGCAGGGCAGGGCAGGATGCCACTGCGGGCTGGGGCTGGGACTGGGGCAGCACTGGGATTTTCCTGGCAGGGGGCTGGGCTGGGCTGGGCTGTGCTTGGGGCAGGTAGTGGTGGTGCTGGAAGGGGACCTGTGGGTGGGGGGCTGCAGCCCCCCCAAAATTCACCATAGCTCCCCCTACCAGCACTGCCACTGCCTGCCCAAACACAGACCCAGCCCCTCCTCCAGGAAAAGACCAGCGCAATCCCGGCCCCAGCCCACAGTGGCAGCCCACCCCAACCCATGGTGCATGCAGCAGTGGGAGCCATCCCCACACCCCTTGGATGAGCTGCGGCTCTGTCCCACATCTTGCCTCGGCTGTACAGCACCTGATCCAGCCCCAGCCTCACTCCCTCCCCCACTGCTGGGGCCTCCCCAGTGTCATCTGCACCCCCTCCACACCCCTTCCCTCACAACAGTCTTACCAGTCAGACCTGGCTGCTCTCCACACTGCTGGGCTGTGCTCCTGGCTGCCTGCATGCTGTGCTGCAGCTGCCTGCAGGCACAGAGCATTTACCAGCCACATCAGCCAAAAAAAGCCGATTGCCAATACAGTCAATTTTCCTTATATCAGCACTGATCCGATATGGGACCGATGTATCTCTATAAAACAGTAATTTGTCTCATTCGTTCTGCATACCCCCTGCAACCTTTTTAAGTACCCCTAAGGGTATGCATACCCCTGATTGACAATTACTGTTCTAGGTTATTATGTACAAATTGCATTTAAAATGAAAATGGTTTTAGACCTGTTGAGGATGCAATTATTGTGATAGACACCCTCAATGAAAATTAAAAAGCTAAATGCAAAGCTTGTAGGAACGCTTTTATCCACAGTACCTGAATCAGTTTACAGTAAAATTTGTTCAGGGATGGATCCAAACGGGTGGGGTGCACTGATGTACTTGTACCTCTGCTTTGATTCCTGATCCACCTAAAGTTTAAAACCACCTGCCTGGCAGTGTCAGCAGCACTTCTAGTCAGGCAATGCTGAGGGAGTCACTTGACTTCAAGGCTCATTATAATCTACTGATTCCTTTTAAACTCTTTATCTCATAGGTGTTAATGATCCTCTCTTCTTTTTTAATGGTCTTAATGTTTCACTAATTAAGCTAGCCTTTCTTCTGCAGTTCTGCCGCTTGTTAGCTGTTCCTGGTAGCTCCTGTTTCACAGGCCTGCAAACTGTTTGTGTCTCATTTCAGTAAAGTTATATTTGTTTTTGTTTCAATCTTAAACTGAACAATACAGGCCCTAGTGTATTAGTAAATCTTCTAGTTTCTTTTTACCTGGGAAAAATGTACACTGTGCTATATGGGCTGATACACCACACCATCTGCACCTCCCTTTTCAAAACCCTAGATCCACCCATGACTTTATTCTTACCTACACGTGCATTTAAAACATGTTCATTACCAATTCTGATGCAGGTCTCCTTCAGTGAATAGAGGGGTCTGCATTTCCTTAGGGCTGGCAAGGCTCAGGGAATGGCAGTACCTGTGAGATTAGTAAACCTGAGCATGCTGTGTTTCCACCATTTATTAGGGACAGAAAAATGGCTTTGTCAGAAATAACGGTAGCTCTTTATCTATGGTGACTGCAGTAAACAGGGACTGAGGTTACATGAAAATGATGTTGCACAAACTCCCAGTTTGGGATGATCCCTTATAGGGATCTCTGTTTGTTTTAAATCAATGGCTGGTTAACTATTTTTCTGGATTTATTTCACTAACACAATAGTGACATTCTCTGTAAACTGATGATCTCAACTAAATTCTGAGAGTCTGCTGTTTAGTAGATGACATTGCAGCTTTATGGCAATAGCCTAAAATGGTGGTCTGGAATACAAGCAACTGCATCAATGTCTTTCTTCTGTCTCTACTTTGCTTATTGAAGTTCTAAGAGACATTCTCTGCAGTGGGAAAATTATGGGAGAGATAGTATTGTACAAGCAGTTCTAAGAATCAATATTGATGCAGTAAACAGCTCATTGTCCCCATCAGCACCATGATTTACAGATAGAGCACGTGGAAAATGTTATGCATATGGGAACACAGGACAGAAATGGGCCTCTTGGGCCATCAGGTCGAGTCCACTGTGTTGGATATACTAATGACTAGTCTGCTCTAAAGTAACCCTGATACTGTCTTTATAAGCCTTTACCAAAATCTTGGCTCAGCAAAGCCTCAGCTTTTTTCAGGCCTCCCTTCCCTTTTACTTTCCCTTACCCTTAGTTTGATGAGATCACTCACCTGTTTCTAACCAAGTTTCTCTCCCTTTTCTCTCTCTTCCCAGAAGACAGTACCAGTCTCAGTTAGACTGACAAAAATATAATAATAAACAAGGAGTTTCAAGGCCCTTGTAGTTCATACCAGGAAATGTCTAATCAAGTGACATATCTCAAAGAATTGTAGTGAAATAGGGTGCACCTGCATGGGTATGTGTGTGGTGACCGGTTTTCTTATGTGATCATTAGAGTCTGTTTGGTTTCTATAGTTATTCTATGTATCACAGATACAAAGGATCTTCTATCTCTTTTCAGGCATGCAGCGCCTGTGCACTTCCCATCTACCAGCCAGTCTGAGCAGTTGGCCAGCAGTGATTAAAGGCTCTCTAGTTATACTCACTACACATGTGCATTTAATGCACATTAGCCTGATTTAAGGCACATTAAAGGTGCGTGTCTACATGTGTGTGCTCATGTGTGTGCAACTAATTGCACCTTAAAAATGGTGAATTTAGGCTAATCCCACCTAAATTTGATACCTGCATAAAGCAAGTATCAAATTTAGGTGCAATTAGTTAAATCACATTAACATACATGTAGATGCATTAATGCACATTAATGGGGCAGCGAAGCCAGGCTGCCTGTGGCCAGCATCCAGTGGCCTGCTGGCCCTAGGGGAGCAAGTGGGGTCAGGGGGTTTGGCCGGCAGCTGCCTGGGCCCAGTCCTGCCCAGACAGCTTACCATATTCCCTGGGCACCCATGCATGGCCAACCTCTGATCTGTGGCTGGGTGGCACAGGGCCCCGGTGCAGAGCATCTTATCTCTGCAATGCTGCAAACTCTCACAAAAGGATTCTGTCTCTTGCCTCTACAGAGCCAACATCTGGACACGGGGCAGAAGCTGCAGGGCCCTGAGAGAGTGCTGCATCAGGTTGCTGCCACCCACTGCTAGAGCCACCTGGAGCTGCATGGGGTCAAAGGGTTGGACGAGTCTTGCCTTCTGTGACATCTTGGATTCGGGTTCCAGGCAAGCAGCAGACTTCACAGGACAACAGATGGGTCCCTCCACCCCGTGCAAGAGGGAGTTTCCAACCACCACCACCCATACCTTCCTTTTTGTGGCAGTGGTCTCCATCCTCCCCACTTTGGGGATTCCTGGCCTGGCCTCTTCCTCCAATGAAATGCGCTCTTTCTCCTCTGTTGCTAGCATTCCATATCTGTTCTCCAAGCAAACCACTACATATGGGGATGACACCTTCTTCTTGCTGCCAAAAGATACACGTT